GCGTGGTTTTCTGTAGCAAATGACCAACATTTTGAAAATACTCGATGTTCAGTGTCCTTCCAATTTTTTTCCTGCAGAATAATCTTTTATAAGGCTGGTAGCCAATTTGGTCTATATTTAAGGAGAGATATGGCTTTGTTACTTTGCCTAAAGGCCAAAGTATGCAAGAATTAACTATAGATGCGTAATAAATGTAATAGAATAACATCATCCACCATCGAAGACTTTTCCAAGCTACTGAGTATGTTTGCATTCGTTGGTCCAACCGATCAACATCGCCTATATACATATTGTTGTCTGCAATGTCTTGACGACAGCGGATGTTTTCTCGTTCTCCAGTTTTTAATGTTCTCAAAACAAAACCAGTTTCTGCATGATTATGCATATTGCTGCATAATCATGCAGATCTTGAGCCATCATCCTTCTACTTACTTATAGTAATATTATTGCAGACAAGTCCATCAATTTCACCCATTTTCATTTTTCTGTCATCTACTAAATGTGCTTTTGGAATATATTTTCGTGTTTGTCTTATTGTTCCACAACCAAAATGACCTAGTTCTAATACCTTATTCATAAGAGAAAGTGTGGTAAACAAAAATCGTCGTCAAAGTACAAGCAGTGTCCCTATTTTTCCAACCCTCTAATTAAATTCAGTACAACTCTTTCCCCTAAAGTATGTTCGTTAGTTCGTTCAGGTTCTCTACCTTGATATACCTCAAAATTGATAAGGTAGTCTGTTTCAGATCATGCCATTGCCCAAATTTGTATATCCCTCTTTATGGGGTTCATTGGAATGTACTGAATGTACTAAAGTAGTCCTTCTTTTAAACGCAACCATACTTTTATCAATTGAAATATTTCTGCTCGGAATAAAAGATTCCATAAAGGTTTTTTTTTTTAATTTTTGAATAAGAGGTCTGTCTCACTTTGTACAACTTGTTAAATTTCTGAGTTCCTCTAGCTGGCATTTGTTGGTTATCATTCAAATAGATATATCTTAATATTTTAAGAAATTTCTTTAGAGGGAAAATTTTAATCTTTTGAAAATTTTAATATTTGTAACCTTTCATTATAAAAATTTGGATCTGCAGACCAGTAGTTTTTGATAGAAGGTTAACTATTAAATCTTATTATAATTGAAATTTCTAGGAAAGCTTTCAATTCTTCGAGGGACAATTCTAAATTTTTGTTGGCTTGGACAGCATATAAATTTCACTGTTCTACAATGTATTATAGTAAGGTGTCATTGAAAAAAAAAACAATAAAGAAATTTACCGAGTCTTCAGAAGACGGTATCACTTTCGAACTCTTGAATTCTGCATAATTACAATTTTGAAATTCAATAGGAATTCGTGGTTCTTTAGACCATCCCTTAAAATCTTTGGTAACATCGAAAGTTGCTTTATCTTCACTTGATGATGAAGCATGCATATTTTTGTTTTGAGAAGGTTTTTGGGGATGGTAATCTCTGTGTGCTACAGAACTATCTGAATCCTCGTGTTCTAAACAGTCGTAAATTGTAGAATTTTTACGTTTTCTATGTAGTGGCTTGTAGTTAGTAAGTATGTCTATTTTGGCTGTACCACTTTCAGACGGAGTAGACGGCAGTATTGCAGTCGAGCTTCTGCTAGAAGATTTTCTGATGCTGTGGAAGGTTCTACTACATCTTCAGCATCTGAGTTCCCTTATAAACTAGAGATACTATAAACTATAATAAATTATATGTTAAAATAAACATCATGGTAATACTCATAATAGTGGGAAATATTGGTGCGGATTTTTACTATTTCCAGATAATTTGTTGCACACAAAAAGGAGCGTGTTGATTGGTCTTGGTCACACTTACCTTTACCATACACTTGTAGGGTAAGATGGGACATCATGGACCATGGGGGTAATCTAAACCACATCGGTTATTTTGTTTAAAATTGGCAACACTGCATCTAGTAACTACCACAAATATGCGAAGACATCTTATCTACTTTTAGTATGAGTTTGAACGCACGGGGAGTACGTTCAGACGTGTTATAATTAAAAACACGTGTTTCGTCGCTGCTGATCTAAGGAATTTACTACTTTTGACTAAAGATTTCTCGGTAAGTAGACAGGATTATTTTAACTTTTTGATACTGTGGTGTTGCTTGTAAAATGTGCTTTTAATAATTAAGATTTGCTTTGGATACGTTGTGAACTGGTATGTTAATTTCCATATTTTGAATGTGTACTACGCATGGGGCAACGTGGACTAGGAGTGGTTCACATTGCCCCATTATATTTTTTTGACACTTTTTTTATTATATGCTTCTTTTGCAGTTAGAAATGGTACGAAATTATGTGAGAAAAACTGAGCAACAATCCTGGTCTCTTGTTGCCTTGAAGAATGCTATCCGGACAGTTAAAGCTGGGGAGATGGGCTATTTAAAAGCTAGTAAAGTTTATGGTATCCCGAAAGCAACGTTATTTCGCAGATGCAAAGAAAAAGTAACAAGAATTTCTCCTGACGAAAAGGGTCTACGTTTCTACAAAACGGTTTTTACCAAGGAACAGGAAGAAGAATTGTATAATTATATCTTAGATATGGAGAAGCGTTTATACGGAATTACTTTGCTTGATCTTCGTCACCTAGCTTTCCAGTTAGCCGAAAAAAATAACATAGACCATCCATATAACAAAACAAACAAACTTGCAGGTTTAGATTGAGCGTACGGATTTCGAAAACGGCACCCAGGGCTTTCATTACGTAAACCCGAATCAACATCTGCTGCAAGAGCTGAAGCTTTTAATCGTTAAAATGTAAAACAATTTTTTGATCTGTATAAAGTTACTTTGGATTCTAAACATGTCAATCCAACGCGTGTTTTTAACTCTGACGAAACAGGTCTAGGTACAGTCCCCAAATGTAATAGTAAAATCTTGGCGCATAAAGGACGGAAACAAGTTGGACGGCTTACTTCTGCTGATAGAAATGGAATAACAAAAGCCGTTATTTGCATGTCATCATTAGGAATCTTCATACCGCCGATGTTAATCTTTGCAAGAAAGAGAATGAAAGTCGAACTCCAAGCTGGTGCACCTCCAGGTTCAATATTCGCCTGTAGCGATAGTGGCTGGATAAATAGTGAACTCTTTTTAATATGGTTTCAACATTTTCTTTAACAAACGAAACCAAGTGAAGACGATCCGATCTTATTGATTTTGGATGGACACAGCAGCCATACAAAAAACATAGAAGTAATTAATTTGGCTAGGGAAAAACATGTACATATCATTTGTTTGCCTCCACATTCCACCCATCGAATGCAGCCAACCGATGTTCGTTTCATGGCTCATTTAGCACGATATTATGATATGGCATTAGAAAAGTTTCATAATAACAACCCAGGCAGAGTGGTAACAGCTTTCCAAATCTCTAAAATTTTTGGTGAGGATTTCTTACAAGCTGCAACACCTTTGACTGCTATTAACGCTTTTAAAAATTGTGGGATAGTACCTTATGATCCCAATATATTTACAGACCTCGATTTTGCACCATCTGCTACGACTGAAAGAGATTTGGAGAATAAGAGTCTACCAGTGTCAAGTCAAGATAAGGCAATTCCTTCAACTTCAACTGCAGAGCCTCACTTAAGTCAAGATGAGGTAATTGCTTCAACCTCAGTTGCAAAGCTTCATACTGGTAACGATTTTCAATTGACAATTTCCCCTGCACACAATAGAGCAACAACTTCATTTGGAGCAAACAGCCCTAAAGACATTTGTCCTCTGCCAAAGAGAAGTAAATTAATGGAACCAAAGAGGAAATCTAAAAAAGGTAAAACGGCTGTACTGACATCTAGTCCGTATAAGCTAGAATTAGAACTTGAAATAAACACGAAGGAGGCAATAGAAACAATGAAAAAGGAAAAAGCTAAGAAAAAAATAAATGATGATAAGCACGAAGATAGTGAAAGAAGTAACAAAAAAATAAAAGTTTGTCCTTCCAAAGATGGTAAGGGAAAGAAAAAAAATAAATGTAACCATCAAGTACAAGAACTACAAGATGATGGCAATGGTGAAGATGCTGAATGTTTTTACTGTAACGAGTGTTTCTCCTCATTAGCCAATGAAGAAGGATGGGTACGTTGCTCGGCCTGTCTGAAATGGGATCATGAAGCATGCGCGGGAATAGATCCAGAAGATGATGAAGAATTTCAGTGTGAATTTTGTATTTCTGAATAAATATAACATGTGTCTATTTTTACTAATGTTCTGTTACCGGTTTTCTAAGTATTTTTAATAAAAAAATTATTTTTAATTGATTTTATTTATCAAACATAGCCATTGGATAATGAAATAGTGTGACTTTCCTCAGTAGTTCACATTGCCCCATAGGGTGGGGCAATGTGAACTTTTGACATATAGTCAGTTGTCATTTTTTTGTTAAAAATACGTTAAATAAATTATGTTTCAATTGCAACTAAATGACAGTTAAATGTTTAATGAACGTCCCTAATTAATTAAACAAAACAAAATCATTTCTGGTTTAACAGTATGTGCATATCTTCCTTAGATGGTTCACAATGCCCCATTCTCCCCTACTACTGGTAAACAACACGTGGTTAAACACCACACAAATTACCGTTCGTTGTAATGTCCCAACGCTTGTATCTCTATAAGTAAATTTATGTTTAGACCCTGTGTTTAGCGATTTAAAATTTAGATGTATATTGTTGAAAAGTAGGTTTACATCATAATTAAATATTGTGTCACAATCAATATTTTAATGACTCGCATAAAGATATTTTCATCTCCGGCATCTCGATCTTTCATGAGGTACTACAAAAATATTAGTACTTCTTTCCCACAAATAATCTTTTCAATTAAAAAATATAATATTCAAACAATCAGCAATGTTAATCATAACAACCAAACACTAAAACAATAATATTTACACGTGAACTCACCATCCACTCTCTCTACCACTATTATTATATAAACCATCATAATTTTCTTTTCAGAACAGCCCAAGTATATGCTACTTTGTACCTTATACATCCTCGTCGGCTTAGCTTTGACCTCAACAATAATAGAGTTGGTCAGAAGACAGTACGCGCACTCCTGGAGACAACTGCAAGCCCTTAGAGGTCCACTAGCTGAGAATTTCAGGAAGTTCGCTGAAAATGCTCCGGGACTTGACGTTCTAGCTTTCCAACAGGACCTGATGAAAGTTTTGACAGTGGTAAATAATGTTATGTTTTTTTAACTGGTAAATGTTGTGAAGATCACAGGGGTTTTTAAAACATAATTTCCCATAGATTTGGCTTACCTTAATCTTACCTTTATCACTTTTAAATATAATAGATGCTTTCCTGTTTTATTCTGAGAATTAATTTTTGTGGGTTGAATAGAGATAATATTTATTATTGGGTTAACTAAACTTTTATGTCAAACTTTCCCCAGAATCTAAATTACAGTTAGGAAAATAGACACACATTTCCTTTTCTTCTGATGTTTCTATTATCTTCATTGTTATATAGACCTGTCTATCGTAGATGATGTCTGAATATAAATTGATGATATAGAATCTACGTTCCCTCCATTTTTGATCAATAACTTCACTGCAATTAAATCTAAATATATTTTTATGGTATGAAGCAAATCTTTTACTTTATGTTCGTTATCAGTCATCGCTGAAAATACTATGGCAACTTAATAATAGTAATTTTAGTCGCTATGTCTTAATTTCTTTGAGTAATTGATTACAGGGGCTAAAAAACTAATATATTCACGAAAAAAGACGTGGAGAAACATCAACAGAAGAAACTGTTTACAAGTTCAAGCAAGAAGAATTATTGATATTTAAAGTTTACAAAGATATGGACAACTATGGCGTATGAGATAAAGATAAAAATGGAGAATCAGCAGAACTCATAAGCACTTGGTCTAGTCTTTTCTTTAATATATACTCCGAACAAACTTTTAGACATTCCGAAGATCTCAACCTTCCAAAGCAAGCGCCAAGTTTGAAACCTCTTGTATAGTTTAACAAATATTTATGGCTGGAGATTAAAGTACTTTGCTAATTTTGACAACTATTTGCAGAATTGAATGCATTATTTCCAAACACATAATAAAACCAATGGATTTCATTTGAAGTAGTATCCCTTTGTATCAACTGTCACTCCACTCTTTATAATGGAATTTTTCACACTGTATATTTTCTTGTATATTTACACGCAGTTTCGATCTTGTTTTAATCAAAACATCTAAATATTATTTATTTCTTACATTTAAACCGATTTTTCCTTTCAGGTTACCATGCCCAAACTGTCGGGAGGCAAAAAAGGCAAGAAGATTAAAGAACAAGAATGGGAAAACGCTATAGAAGCTGCCATCCGTGATCTCACTGCTAATGCTACAGAACACAAACCTCAACAAGTGCTACAAATTGTTATATACGAGAGTTCAGTCTAAGAGAGCAAGTAATATCTTCCAGAACTGACTTCCATGTTTTTCTAATGATTATTTTTAAGAATGTTATAACGGGCATCGAGGGTGTAACCTAAAGAAAACAAATTATTTTGAATAAAATATTAAATCAGAACATAATTGGATAATGTTCGTTTTGTTTTATCACACGAATAGATCTATCGTCGTAACTTTTTTGTCGTTAAGACTATAATAGTCTATATTATACATAGATATATTAAGGGGGGCTTTAATGCAAAAAATGATAAAGTCGATGAGGTCAAAAAGTCTGATGATCTTACGGTCTTAAAATGTCGAGAAACTGCTAAAAGATTAGAAGAATTGTTGAACGAAGTAAAACCAATATAATTGCACAAATAGAGTACATAATCTGATGAACTATCTGGAAATATAATAACTTTTCTGATAATTGTGCATTAGAAATAATACATACACGTACATATATACAACACAACATTACTACACTCTAAATATGTGTCTTCTGCATTTGGAAATGTACGGAATAGTTATGAAGTGATTCGAGAATGTAGTTATTTCTAACAGCATCCTTAACCCTTAACTAGTCGCGCCACGAAAAAACACATAATTAGTCGCGTGAGGTCAGTATGGCCCATTTGTGTTAAAAGCAAGAGAAATTAGATTATTTGAATGTGAAACGTTTTATTGATAAATTATATGCTGGTCTAAAAGACCATGTAGGAAGGAGGAGCACTTCTGAACGTGGAGTGGATTTGAACAATTCAAATTTTCCTCTTATAAGCACAAGCATAAGTTGTAGTGTATCTGGTGGTAGCGGTGTGTGTAATTTTGGTTGTAAGGATAGCACAAGCAAAATCAGCTAAATTTAAAATCTCTAGTTGCCTGGCACATTTGAACAACAGGAGTGGAGCACTTTTAAACTTTGTTCAAAGGTTCCCCATTTTTATGAACTGAGATAGTACGTACCGTTCCCGTCATAAAAAACTGGTACAACTCTTATAATCAAAAATCGTGTTTTTTAAGTTGTGTACGTTGATCTTGTCATATGTGTCATTCTAATTTCTAGCGCACAGTTGCCAGTTCAACGAAAATATTATATCAAACCAGCTATAAGCAGGACTGTGTGACAGACCGCCAGCTTAGAGTATACTAAAAACTAAAACATTATCGAGCATTCTTGATCACTCAGTCACATTAAATTTGTTTAAACATGCATTCTAAAAAATTCTCATATTATTTTGTAATTTTCCATCATCGCAATTAAGTATTATACCCATACATTGATTTGTGTTTTATAACAATTTATGAAAATATTTCAATTCAAAAATAATGACAGATAATCAATTTAGACAAACTTCAAATTGTTATAATAAAACATTACAGTGAGATATTGGATTGTAACTGTTACGTTTTGAAAAGCATTTTTTTCGGCCCGAATATTTTATAGTTTATAATACGTAGGATAAAGTATAATGTTAGTTTTTCACATTTTTATCGTTCTTGTAATAAATAATAAATAAATCTTGGTAGTTTGCCTGTTACAAAAGTTATTGACGCAGAATACAGTTCGAGTTCGGTAGGTAATTAAAGTATAAAATTACAGTAGATGCATTCCAATATTCCCTGTGTCAATATCCTAGGTTTGAAGATCTTTCAAACATTTTGGATAATAACTCAATCCTATCTCTGCTTATTTAATTTCTTAGATACGATTTTTTGTTGTTAATGATATAAATAATACCTATCTAAAAATTTTATACATTTTTGGACGTTATTTTTTTATTTAGATTTGGTGCAATTCCGTTATCTGTAACGGCAACTGATGGAGTTTTCTCCGATTTCCACCAATTGTTGTGGGGAAAGCTTATTAAATTCCTTTCCCCGTGCGTGTACAGTTCCAAATATTTTAGGACCATGGACTGTACAAGAGTGTTTCCTTCGATATATACAAGCAGAACTTCACGCCGCTGGTTCTTTATGTGTTTGATTTAATAGGGGTTGTACTTAGAGAAAAATAAGCGTCATTAATTGAATCTACACATTTAATAACAAGAGAATATTTACACCAACACTAATACTAACGAAAGAGTTCGCTTTAAAACATTGTCCATTATTAAATCGGCGTTTTAAGGGCGCGCGAAACTATTGAGAAAAACAAATACACGTTTCACTGCATTTTGGCGGCGAAGAGAGAGCTTAGGTACCGGCCACTAGTACCAAACAGCTTGAGACACTAGTCACATCTGCGAGAGATTTTGAATTGAATCTTTACCTAAATTTTGCCGACAAGGCGGCGTCGGTTTTACCACTTTAAACAACCCTTATAAGCTATTTATGGCACAAATATTCTGCAGACAAAAGTACAGTCTGTAACATAAATTTCAAACCAATATTTGTAAGAACTAAAAATTATACTAAAATTAATATAAAATGTTGTTTTTACAACAGCAACAACGAATTGATTTCTGAACACAGGTTTACATTGGGAAAAAAAAGTGTACCAGTTTTCTATGACGGGAAGTGTACATACAAAAGAAAACCTGCAGAAGTGCCTACAACTGAAGATGATATTCAAAATGCTATATAAGCAGTGAAGGGTGGCATAATACTTCGCACGGGTGCTGCAATGTATGGAACTAAACATATGACACCATTTTATGACAATAGAAAGGAAACAGGAACGAGAAAAGGTAATCTGTCAAATTATTTAAGTTTGTATTCTACTTATCAAGTGTTTAACAAAACTGAAGAAGACCTAATAGTTGGTTATATATTAAAATCTTCAAAAATATCCTATCCTGCAAGCTTCAAACATTGTAACGCAAAAGGGAATCAAACGAGTTGGTAGACAGTTTCAGCAGAGAGAATTAATGCATTAGAAAATGCTGCGCCTCCGGTGTACATATTTCCAAGAGCCCGTTTTTATGATAAAATGTTGAATGTAGCTCCCTTGGGAAGCCTGGATTTGGCTAATTTGCCAAGTTCTGGATGGATGACCAAGGAACTGTTTCTCAAGGTTCTTAATCACATTATACGTTTTACACAGTGTTCTTCTGATTCCCCAATTTTAATATTCATGGGCAATCACGAAACTCATTGTTCGCTTGAATCCATATTGTTTGCACGTGAAAATTGTATATTATTAGTTACTTTTCCACCCTACACCTCACATCGTCTGCAACCGATAGATTCGTCGTATAAATCAAAACTTGCCGTTGCTATGAACGAATGGATGATAATGCATCGAAAATGGGTATATGACATCGAGCAATAAGACAAAAAAAGGAATCTAATCCTTACGAAAAGGAGACCAAAAAAGTGGCCTCTGATAGCGGACATATACGGAAATGCGAATGCGCCAAATTTAAATTTTCCGACACTTATCAACAGTAGCTATATAATATTTTTCATAATGTGTCTTAGACGAGAAAGTTTAAATTAATTATTAATAATAAGAGTCTAAAATGCGACACCATTGTTAAAAAACTTCAATATAAATAAGATTTCATGTGACATTTGGGACAAACAATAACATAACCCAACTAAATTTGATGTCAAACAAGGAGAGAGGCTCTCTTTCCTTGTTTAATGTGGCCTCTAAAGATCGCACTTCCTGTCTAACAATATGTTTGCCCCCACTACCTTTACATTCCCTCTTTTGTCTTTTTGCTCGATGGTATATGAGCACAAACAAATCAAGGTTCAGGAAGATAAAAGTTACAATCTGCTGTCTACCTACTGGAAATTCTTAGTAACTAAATACAACGTTGTGGAACAGCACAATTAAGGACTCAATGGCCCTAAAAGCTTTATTACAAATATGTAGTAATAAAACCATTATCATAATGATAAAATTATGTTGTTCAGGAAATACTCAAACATAAACAGCTAAAATTAAAATTAAAATTAAAATTAATAATAAATCGGAGAACTTGTTTTATTAAGGTTACACTCTATCATAATCATGTATAAATATATTTATTTCCAGTTAAAATGTTCACCTGTATTTTCTTCTTATTACATTAAAATTAATATAAATAAAAACAAAGAACGTATTTGATTTTAATTATTTTTTTCAGATTAATTCTACTGTTCATGTATGGTTCGAGTATCTACTAATTATTATGTGTGGTTTCAGCATTAATTTTTTAAGCTAAAATACAGATTTATAATATTCTTCTTTTATTAGACTAAATACAAAATTTAAAAAACTTTACTTGAATTCATGCGGCACATTTTTAAGAGTTTTAGGTCGAATGCAACGAATTTCAGTAAGCATTATTTCCTTCAGTTTATCGATTGAAATATCGATAGTAAGTCGATATTCCAATAAAAATAAATCCAGCTGAGTAAGGTCTGAACCCCGTTCCCCCAATCTATTGATTTGAAAATATTTCGTTTTAATTAATTAAAAATGGTTGCATGATAATGGGGAATAGTTTCGTCTTCCTGGTACCACAAAGCTTTATTTGGACTGTTCGGTCTGTTATCATTTGGGAATAGTGTGATCAATCCTGGTACTATTTGCTGTCTCAACATGTCTAAATATTTGAAACTAGTGAGATTTATGTCTAGGAAAATTGATCCGACAATTTAATTACCAATAATTCCCACTCATACATTAATCTTTTGATGGAATTGAGTATGGACTTGGGCCATCCAGTGAGAATTTGTTGGTGCCCAGTATCAACTGTTTGCCTTATGTACAGTGACGTTTAGATAAAATGAGATTCGTCTGAAAAAAATATCATTAGCAAAAAACGGATATCTATTTTTCTTCAATCTTTCTTTTCAACATTCTAATCTATCATTGTTATCTTGCACTAACTTTATTTTATAAGGGTGTCAATTTTGTTTTTTCATGTACTTTATTATTGAACTTTGCTTAATGTGATTTGATGCTAAAAAGCATCACAAAATCATGGTGGTATCATCATAATTGCGGTTATCTAAAATAAAACAAAACTAAATTTAAAAATCGAATTGTCTTGGTGTTTTTTGTTTAA